TATTTTCGTTGCTACTCTATAACTGTAATTTTGCTACTGTTATGAATCATAATGTAAATATCTTCTTGTTTTCCGATGGTCTTAGGCGACCCCTGTGAAAGGGTCGTTCGACCCCCAAAGGGGTGTGACCCACAGGTTGAGAACCGCTGTTCTAGGTGCAGTGGGAGCTATAGGAGGGATTAAGCAAGGAAGGGACATCATCTGACTTAAATTTATAAAAGACCTTGTAATAGTTTCCCTCTCAAATTCATGTTCACCCAGAACCTCAGAATGAGACTTTATTTGGATATGGGGGGATTGGCAGATGTAATTAGTTAAGATGAGCTCATACTAGACTAGGGTGGGACCTAAATCCAACGACTAGTGTCCTTATAAGAAGGCCATGTGAAGACAGAGGCAGAGCCAGAGGTTGGGGTGATGCATCTACAAGCCAAGGAACGCCAAGGGTTGCTGGCAGGCACCATAAGCCAGAAGAGAAGCAGAGAACAGATTCTCCCTCAAAGCCTCAAGAAGGAATACATCTTGCCAACGCTTTGATTTTGGACTTCTAGCTTCCGGAACTAGGAGAGAATAAGTTTCTGTTGTCCTAAGCCACCAGGTTTATGGTTTTGTTATAGCAGTCACAGGAAACGAACATAGAAAACAGACTGTTTGGAGTGGAAGGACTGTCAGAGTTGGGGCAGCGGTGACAGGGGGAACACCAGGGAGTCAGCTGGGGCAGCGTCCAGATGGGAGATGGCAGGGGCCTGGGTGGGGAGAAGTGGGCAGATCCAGAATCAGAATCAGTGGGACCTGTTAAGTGTATATGCTTAGCTCTATGGCTCATGCATATGAGTGTTTGGCCCACAGAGGCCAAAGTCAACACACTTGGCTTGTTCAGCACCAGCCTGGGCTTTTGCAGGAGGGAAACCTCTGCTCACACCCACCCCATGGTGCCCTACCTGCCGGCATCTTGTGAGATGGTTACCGACACATCCAGGCCCAGTGTAGTGACCCTCTTACATACAGCATCCATGTCGATGATGGAGTCAATGCTTTCAGGACCATCTTCCACGCAGCACTGGGAGCCAGGGCAAAAGCGGCAGTTGTCCAGTCCTTTGTAGCCCTTGTTGTGCCCACACTTCTCCAATGTGACTGTGGTCGCCATGCCCGACACACCCACATGCACCACCAGCTGCAGACAGACAGGTAGGGCTTAACAGGGTCTGTCCATAAGAGTTGGGGGTCCCCCAGGCCAAGGAGAGGGCAGCATCCTCGCTAGGCTTTACCAGGGGTTACATTGTTTCTGACCTCTTGCTGCTGGAATAGACCCTACAGTCATTGTTGCAGAAAGGTATGCCAAGTGAAACATGCAAGGATGTTCACCCCAGCTTTGTTAATACAATCAAATACTGGAAACAGCCTAATTAGCCACTTGTGGGGGTTGGCTAAATTATGAACTACTGTGTAGCAGTTAAAATACCCAAAGCAATTCTGTAAGGAAAGATCTTCAAGATATATTGCCAAATGCAAAAGACAAGGTGTAACTTCTAGGAATCTAGCCTAAAAATAATCAGAGATGTAATAATCTTTCAATGGTCACTTAAAAGTGAGAAAAAATATAGCAACAAGTGGCATGCTCAATAATAGAAGAATGGTTATATTAATTACTAAAAATTAAAACAATGTTTAGGAAGAGTTTTTAATGACCTAGATCAGCGGTTCTCAACCTTCCTAATGCCGCGACCCCTTAATATAGTTCCTCATGTTGTGGTGACCCCCAACCATAAAATTATTTTCGTTGCTACTCTATAACTGTAATGTTGCTACTGTTATGAATTGTAATGTAAATATCTTCTTGTTTTCCGATGGTCTTAGGCGACCCCTGTGAAAGGGTCGTTCGACCCCCAAAGGGGTCGTGACCCACAGGTTGAGAACCGCTGACCTAGATGATTAAATGCTCATGATAAAATATTTATAAAAAGCAGGATACCAAATTGAATACGGTTTAACTTCAACTATCAATTATTGGTGTGTATGCTTATACACAGAAGGGGCATTGTAATAAAATATGTGAACAATGAAAATATAGGCAGCCACAGGCCACAGTGGCTACTGAGCACTTGAAATGTGGCTGGTACAAATCAAGATGTACGGTCAAGTGTAAAACACACTAAATTTTGGAGACTGTGCACAGAAAAAGAATGTAAAATATCTCATTAGTGACTTTTTAAAGATGTTGATTACAGGGACGGCTGGTTAGCTCAGGTGGTTAGAACGCAGGCTCATAACACCAGTGTTGCTGGTTCAATTGCCACATGGACCACGGAGCTGGGCCCTCTACAACTAGATTGAAGACAACTACTTGACTTGGAGCTGATGAGTCCTGAAAAAATACACTCTCCCCCAATAAAATTTCTGAAAAAAAAAAAAGTGATTACATGTGATCAGAGCAGGAACAGAGCCACATAAATCATCCTGTGTGGGGCGCCCACCTGCAGGTCCTGACGTGGAAGCACCTGCCTTTGCTCCACTCACCTGTGGGCTATGCTTCTCCCATAGGGCAGGGATGAGCCTCTGCACAGTCTTGTACTCAACTGGAATCTCATACACATGCAGGTCCACGCTATCCCCAAGCCCCAGCTTCTCCAGCTCCTGGAAGCGAGAGGAGAGTGTTGTGGCATTAGGTGAGGGCTGCAGGGACAATTCACGCCCTGGAGATAATAAACTGACCCATCCTCAGAAAGCAGGCGGGGCTCCTGACTCACTGTGCAGAGGGGGAAGATGAGTGTGCTCGTCCACCCCCAAACTCCTCCCTCATCCCTTTCCCTACCTGTACTTCTCAAACTCTCTGTGTGCATCCATGAGCAGTGGGTCTGATGCTGCAGCCTCTGAAGCTAGGTTCCCAAGTTTGAACCCTACCTATGTGACCTTGGGCACATTACTTAACCCCTCTGAGCCTCAGTTTCTTCACATATAAAATGGGGATAAAAAAGTACTTGTGAGGGGGCCAGCCGAGTGGCTCAGTTGGTTAAGAGCTTGCTCAAGAGTGTGAACTCTGAGCAACAGTGGTTCGATGCCCGGCCCGAGCTGAGCTGCCGTTGAGCTGGCTCAGCTGAAAAAAAAAAAAGTACTTGTGAGCAAGGTGGTTAAAAACATTAAATGAACGAACTCACACTAAGAGTTCCAAGCAATGCTTAGCATATTAAAAGTGCTCAAATAATGTTGCCTACTATTACTACTGTTTTTGTTGTTGTTACACTTCCCCTCTGTTATACCTGATAAGAATTATTTTTAGACTTGGTACATGGTACATAGCAAAGTCTCAGTATACATTTATAGATGGACCCAACTCCTTAGGGAGCCTCTAACCATCTTGGGCACAAGGTGGTTTAAGAACATTGTGAATTATATGCAAAAATAGGCTATGGATCACTGTGTGCACGCTTTTCTGGGGAAACACTGATGCTTTCCCAGGATTCTCAACGTGCTCCACCCAGGGTCCACCCGTTAACCATTTGCAGGTCCCCCCACCTGGCTGGGCCAACGCTCAGTGTGCAGTAAGCCCAGAAACAAATTTGCTGGAGGAACAGTGATCTTGCCATCTTGGTACCCACAGATGTTTGCGGATGAAGGTTTCAGTTCAATATGAAACTCTGAACATTCTTCATAGTAAAATTAATACTCCAAATAATGAGTATCAGTAGAGCTGTTTCTTTTTTTTTTTTTAGCTGAGCCATCCTGCCACCTGTTGGCAGCTCAGCTCTGGCCGGAAATAGAACCGGTGACCCTGTTGCTCAGAGCTCGCACTCTTGAGTGAGCTCTTAACCAACTGAGTCACTCAGCTAGCCCTAGTAGGGCTGTTTCTTATTCTTGGATCTCATGCAATGGTTTTAAAATGCTATCACTGGCAGACGTTATCCATTTCTGTGGGTGGGTCTCAGGAGAAGCATTTTTTGTGACTGGCTTCACTGAATTTGCTGTAGGTGAGTTCTTGCATCTCCTGCAGCAGCTTCAAGATTTCCTTATCCAGTCACCTTGACCTTGCTATCCATGCTGTCCCAACTCTGCACCCAATCACTACAGTGACTCTGGAGAATATCCACAGCAAAGGCAGGTCCCTCCTCACTGGTAGATAATTCCAAATCACACCTTAAAGTGGGTGTATCAGGTTACCTGGAGACAAGGACACCTGGAGGGTGGGTGGGGCACAGTGGGTGTATTGGGGGCATCTCAAATGCCAACACCAGGAACTGGGACCTCATCCCTTTCACCAAGCCCAGTGACATGTGGAACCAGGAAGGGCCCCCAAGAAATCCTAAAGCCAGACAGAAGAGGGCAGAGTGCAAACCTGATCCCAAACTGGTACCTGAGTGAGCTGCAGACTGCTGCTGAGGCAGACGGCTAAGGGAGTGAGGGGGTTATGTTTTGTGTGACATTGATTTTAAAACATTTTAAACATACCAAAGAGAATACTTGGTAAATACTTCATTTCTCCCACAATCCTTTTTCTCAGTCATTCATATTTTTATTCTTCGTGCTCCCTTTTTCATCTAAGCTTCAACTTCCTGGACAGTGCAATGGACCAGAGAAGATATTCTTTAAAGGGTTTGAGGATTTGGAGACAAAGCAGGCACGTGATTCCTACATGACCGTATTGCTTTTCACACTGTCAAAGTGCTGGAGGTTTGAGATCTGTGATCACCATTTCAGCTCCCCCATCTCATGAACACTCATCCACTTTCTGCACGCTGCACACTGGAGTGATTACTTTGACCACACAAACATGGACGGAACACTGTTTGCTTGAAGTTTGCTGGATACACCTGAGTTTTGTTTGGCAAATTGATTTGGTGACCAAGCCCCACCATCTCCTGCCCTACACTGCCCCACCCAGCCTCCTGACCCCCAAGGCAGAATCTAAAATCACATCACACCCTTTCCTTATCTCCATCCTGCTGTGGCTCCCGCCATACTCAGAATAAAATCCCAACACCCACAACAGCCCATGAGGCCCTGCAGGATCTGGACACTGCTAATCTCCTTGTCCTCCTCTCCCTTCATCCCCCTTTTGCTCATTGTCTCCAGCATGCGGTCTCGCATATACCAGGCTAACTCCTGCGTCAGAGCCTTTGCACTGTCTGCTCCTTCTGCATGGAATGCCTTTTTCCTCACTTTCCAGTCAGTTGACTTCTCCTTAGTCTTCATGTCTTGGACTCCCTCCTGAGAAGACCTCAGGACAACCAGCCCCTTTACACGCTCTCTCAGCCCTGCAAAGGATGTGCACCAGTAGGTGCTTGTGAATGTCAGCAGAACAACCGAGCAGCTCAAGTTTTGACTGTGAATAAACAGGCCTAGGCGACCCTGCACACATACTGGACCCTCCTGAGTTGCCTTGCCTTCCTCAACTATAAATGGGGATTTGGACTAGCTGCTGGCTGGGATCCCTCTTTCCTTTTCATCTTTTCCTACATTTAAAAGTAGTTCCTGGGCCGGCTGAGTGGCGCGATGATTAAGAGCTGGCTTGGGATGCCAGGGCCCTGGTTCAGATCCCACATATGAGGGCCAGTGACACTGCCCTCTACAGCTAAGATGCTGAACAACAGCTCAACCTGGAGCTGGGCTGCTGTGAGTCGCCAGCGTCGGCGTAGGCTGCAGCCCCTGTGGCAGTGGGTTGCCATGGGCTACTGTGTGTAGCCTACAGCCAGCGCGAGTGGCCATCAGCCGCCGTGAGCAGCTGTCCAGAAGCCGGAGACTGATCTGCCTCGCCCGGGAAGAGCGCAATGATGGTGCCAACTTGGGCCAGTGAAGCAACGTCCTCCACAACTAGACTGAAGAACAAAAGGACAGCAACTTGTCTGTTCCCCTTCCCCAGCACTGTTCCCATCCCCCAATTCCCCAATAAAAATCTTTTTAAAAAGAATAATAAAATAAAAGTAGCTCCTCACTATTCACAATCTGCAAAAAATAGAGACAACCCAAGTGTCTATCAATGGATGAAAGGATAAACAAACAAAATGTGGTCCAACCACACAATGGGATTCATCCATAAAAAGGAATGAAGCACCGACACGTTACAATGTGGATGAACCTCAGAAACATCATGCTGAATAAAAGATATGTCACAAAAGGCCACATAGTGTGATCCCATCTATATGAACTGCCTAGAACAGGTAAATCTATAGAGACAAAAAGCAGATTAGTTGTTGTCAGGGACTGTGGGAGGGTAGATGGGGAGTGACTGCTAATGGGAACGGGGGCTCCTTCTGGGGTGATGGAAATGTTCTGGCATTAGATAGAGGTGATGGTTACATAACACTGTGAGTGTACTAAATACCACTGAGTTGTACACTTTAAAATGGTTAATTTTATGTTTTATAAGCTTAATCTCAAAGAAAGAAAGAAAGGAAGGAAGGAAGGAAGGAAGGAAGGAAGGAAGGAAGGCAGGCAGGCAGAGAAAGAAAAGTAGCTCTTAATTGCATGGATGGGGAAGGGTAGTCAGAGGTATAGCCTCCAGAGACGGGTGACCAGATCAGTTCCTACCCCCACTCACTCACCAGCTGGGTGACTTTGGGCAAGTCACTCGCCTTCTCTGTGCTTTAGTTCCCTCATCTTTACCCATGTTATAGGGAGGAAAAACAGAAAAACACACACGAAAGGCACAGTGCCTAAAAAAGTCTCAGAACAAGCAAACTTAAACTATATTTTAAAACATGGGGGGGCCGGCCGAGTGGCGCGATGGTTAAGAACTCACTTGGGATGCCAGAGGGCCTCGGTTCGGATCCCACATATGAGGGCCAGAGACACTGCCCTCTACAGCTAAGATGCTGAACAACAGCTCAACCTGGAGCTGGGCTGCTGTGAGTCACCAGCGACGGCATAGGCTGCAGTCCCTGTGGCAGTGGATTGCCATGGGCTACCGTGTGTGGCCAGCAGCCAGCGTGAGCGGCCAGCAGCCGCCGTGAGCGGCCGTCCAGAAGCCAGAGACTGATCTGCCTCGCCAGAGAAGAGCACAATGATGGTGCCAACTTGGGCCAGTGAAGCAACATCCTCCATAAGTAGATTGAAGAACAAAACGACAGCAACTTGTCTGTTCCCCTTTCCCCAATTCCCCAGCACTGTTCCCATCCCCCCAATTCCCCAATTAAAAAAAAAATCTTTAATAAAAAAAATAAAATAAAAATAAAAAAAGCTCCCTGGCTTCAGGCCCAGCTTTTCAAAAAAAAAAAAACAAAAAAAAACATGGGGCCAGCTGAGTGGCTCAGTTGGTTAAGAGCACAAGCTCTGAGCAACAGGGCTGCTGGTTCGATTCCCACATGGGCCAGTGAGCTGCACCCGAGCTGAGCTGCCAACAGGTGGCAGGATGGCTCAGCTGGTGAGAGCATGTGCTCCTAACAACTAGGTTGCCAGCTCGACTCCCACATGGGATGGTGGCTACGCCCACCCACAACTAAGATTGAACACGGCACCTTGAGCTGAGCTGCCCTGAGCTGCCGATGGGCAGCCAGATGGTGACTGGACTTGCCGCTGAACTAACTGCGCCCTCCACAACTAAGATTGAAGGACAACTCAGCTGTTCCCCTTCCCAATTCCCCACTAAAATCTTTAAAAAAACAAAAACAACAAAAAAATAAATGCACTTCCTTAAAAACAAC